CTCTCTCTCTCTCTCTCTCTCTCTCTCTCTCTCTCTCTCTCTCTCTCTCTCTCTCTCTCTCTCTCTCTCTCTCTCTCTGTGTGTATTAAAGGTATTGATAAAAGACATTCTGAGATGTCTTAAATTTATTACAAAGGCTGGAGGGGGAGGGGGAAGCGATAAGGGGAGTTAATCAGTTAACAGTTGCTATAGATAAAGTCAACAAAGAGACTGTTCTGTGGAAACCTTGATTTAAAAGCCTTCACACCCAACCACCAGGGCCACTACACCCTGTTCACGTTTCTAACCTTTCCTGACTGTTAACCTCAACTAGTCCAGAACCTCAACCTCTTCTTCCACCTCTTCATCACTGATGATAAAACCCAGGTTCTTACATATAAAGGGCAAGAAACCACTGAGTCATAAGCCTGGCCCTTGGGTTTTCAAGACAGACTCTTGCTATATAGCTCAATCTCACTTGGAACTCAAAATCCTTCTGCCTTAGTTTCCTGAATACTGGCATTAAGGCCATGTACTACCTACCATCCCTGGCTAGGAAGCAGGTTAAGGCTGAAAGTATTTAAAATGTGTCCTGCTCATATCCCACCCACCTTTGGCTTGGTCTAACCCAATGGCTGTCTGGCAATATCTCTAGTGCCAAGCCAGCCAACAGACTGGCAAATGACAGTCTCTATCAGAGGCAAATCTCTATCTGGAAGTTGAGGAAGAGGTTCGATGTGACACATGATGTGAACCTTATTCCTCATGTAGAGTGCTAGTGCCTTGAATTTCTCAAGAACTTTTTTTTTTAAAGATTTATTTATTTATTATGTATACAACATGCTGCCTCCATATATGCCCACATGCCAGAAGAGGGTGCCAGATCTCATTACAGACGGTTGTGAGCCACCATGTGGTTGCTGGGAATTGAACTCAGGACCCCTGGAAGAGCAGCCAGTGCTCTTAACCACTGAGCCGTCTCTCCAGCCCTCTCAAGAACTTTTGAATGAAAGCTAATTTAGTACTTATATAAATGGTCCCAAGTAAACAGGGAAGCCAAGATTTCTTACCCTGTTTACTTGGCCAAGGGTTCTCTGTCTATTTCTCCCTGCCAGACATCTATACACACCAAGCTCTATCTGACTGAGGGCTTTTTGCCTGTCTCTTGAGATCACCTGTGATCAGTATGATTAATCTGGAGAGGTTTGTTGGCCTGGGATCCTAATTTTCAAAAGAGGGTTAACTTTAAACGGAGTTCCCGCTTCTACCCTGTCACTCCTGAGGTCTGTTTTGGAATGTCTGTGGAAGATGGAAGATATAAACAGAGGGTATCACTATGTCTTCCTGTCACTCGGCCAAGCCGTCAAGACGTTGACTCAAAGCAAGGTGACTTACAGGGGAGTTTTGCCATGGTCTTTTAGATCAGTGAATGCCCCCGCCCAGTGAGGGGCAAAGGAATTGACTGGCCGAGGCAGAAAGGCAGAGGGGCCTGGGTGGGGAGGGAGATCATAGGCTTTGGAGGCAGCAAATCTTGAGTTTGTATCAGGAGCTGAATGCTCAAGTTCACGACCTCAAATGTGGAGCAACTGACCCGACCACTATGGTCTTGATTTTAACTCGAGAGGATTAGCAAGCAGCTCTTTCTCAAAGGACGGTAGGGTCGTGAGGAGCAGCAGGGGGATTTCTGTGAGGGATCCAAGGGCAGCATATACTTGCCCTCCCTAAAGCAATGGAGTCGAAGTCACCCTTGATGGCTATCCCGGGAGTCAGCAAAGAATCACAGCAGATTTTGTGTTCTGAAAACCTGCTCCATAGACGGACTTGATGTTCCCTCCAGCATCCTAGGAGCTGGGCGAGAACTATGAAGCCCCGAGGCTGGAGAAGTGTCTCAGTGGCGAAGAGTCTTTATTGCTCTTCAGAGGGTGCGAGTTCAGTTCCCAGCAGCCTCACGGTGACTCACAACCATCTGCAACTCCAGTTTTAGGCTGCAGGTGGTGTGTATACATGGAGGCCAACCAAACAGTCATCTACATAAAATAAAAAATAATCAGCTGGGGGCTGGAGAGATGGCTCAGTGGTTGAGATCATTGCCTGCTCTTCCAAAGGTCCTGAGTTCAATTCCCGGCAACCACATGGTGGCTCACAACCATCTGTAAAGAGGTCTGGTGCCCTCTTCTGGCTGCAGACATGCACACAGACAAAATAGTGTATACCTAATAAATAAATAAATATTTTAAAAAAATAATCAGCTGGGTGATGGTGGCGCACGCCTTTAATCCCAGCACTCGGGAGGCAGAGGCAGGCAGATCTCTGTGAGTTCGAGACCAGCCTGGTCTACAGAGCTAGTTCCAGGACAGGCTCCAAAGCCACAGAGAAACCCTGTCTCGAAAACAAACAAACAAACAAACACAAATCTAGCCAGGAGGTGGTGGTGCACGCCTTTAACTTCAGCACTTGGGAGCCAGAGGCAGGGGGATCTCTGACTTTGAGGCCAACCTGGTATACAGAGTGAGATCCAGGATAGTCGGGGCTACACAGAGAAACCTTGTCTCTAAAAACAAAAACAAACAAATACAAAAAAAAAAAAAAAAAAACCCAAAAAGCTAAAAAAATAATAATAAAAGAATTATGATGCCCTTGTTAGAGTTAGGAAGGAAAGCGAGGTGATTGGAAGGTAAATGAGCGAAGACCGCAGACACAGGAACCCTGAACTGCCGTGACCCAGGGTTTCCCTCAGGACATGCCTGCTTGTGAGCTCATCCCTAGCTCCAAAGCTCTCCACCCATCTACGTCATCCACGCTTCTTATCCCCGTGACAAAACGCTTGTCAAAGCAACAGATGGAAGGAAGGAGTGACTCTGTCTCAGTTTCGGTGCTCTGAAGGGTCCAAGTCATGGGGTTCCTGAAGGAAGGACTGTGTGGTGGAGTTCCCTTTCATCCTGTGTGGATCAAGCAGTGGGGAGCAGGAATGGAAGCGGGGCTGGCTCTAACCTTAAGGCCTGCCCCAACAGTCTATGTCTTCGGGGTACGCCTTGTATCCTAAAGGTTCCATAACCTCCCCCAAACAGTGTCACCAGCTAGGTACTGGAACACGCGGGCCAGTTTAGGGCATTTCTCGTTTAGCTACTAATGCTGCGTGTATGCCTCAGCTTAAAAGTGCAGCGGTGCCCTGCAGATTTAAAGAGTGATGACAGGCTGGGGTTGCTGCTCAGGGTTAGCTTTACCCAGCCATGAAAGGGGGTGAGGGGTCCATCCTCAGAACCACACAACAAAACCAAGCAAGCCATCCAACAAACTATTCAAGGATAGCCAACTCAGCCCAAAACATCTGTGACAGTGTGTGAAGATGACCTGATAGGGATCTATCTATCTATCTATCTATCTATCTATCTATCTATCTATCTATCTATCTATCTATCATCTATCAATTATCTATCTATCTATCTATCTATCTATCTATCTATCTATCTATCATCTATCAATTATCTATCTATCTATCTANCCTTGGGGCTGTGGGGGTCAGAAGATGCCATTGGAGCTCCTAGAATTGGAGTTACAGATGGTTTGAGCCACTGTATGGATGGTGGGAATCAAACCTGGCCACCTGGAGAAGTATTGAGTGCTCTTAAATGGCTGAGCCATCTCTGCAGCAGTACTCAGAAGTTTTTTCTTTTCTTTTTTGTTTTTTTTTAAAAGATTTATCTATCTATCTATCTATCTATCTATCTATCTATCTATCTATCATCTATCAATTATCTATCTATCATCTATCTATCTATCTTTTTTTCTATCTATCTATCATCTATCTATCTATCTATCTATCTATCTATCTACCTATCTCAAAGTAATGAAGAGAGGGAGCCACATTCTGTAGTGATGCTCACCTGTCGTTCAACACTGGGAAGGATGATCCGGGAAGACCATGGGTTTGCGGTCAGCGCAGCCTGCCCATGCAGGTTCTGTATTAAAACAAAAAGCAAGCCAGATGACGGAGGTTAACTCCCAGGTCTGTTAGCTTGTGGTCTTTCATAACTACCGCAGATAGATGATTCCATCTTTCTTTGCCTCTGTGTTTCCATCTGCTAAATGATACTTGAACAACTGAATACTAGAAGTTGCGTGTCAGGGTTGTAAACTGGATAAGGAATGTGAACTGCGCTTGGCACTTAGCCCCTCCCCCTCCCCGTGTCTTTAGCGCTTTCAGTTATGTGTTTGGGTAACCCTGGGAGCCCACGGAGCAGATATTCTAGGATAGTTCCACTGGTCTCCAGGCAGGGGGTCTGTGAGGCCCAGGAGTGGATGGGCCCATGGGACAAGGAAGGAGGCCACAACTTGTTGCATGGTAACTGCTTTCTCTGTCTGGGAAGGTGGAGGCTGGTGTTTACCTGTAACTAGGTGGTGTTGGAGGTGGTGGGTGATCCGTAAAGAAATTAATAAAGATCAAGGGCAAGGAGTGGTTCCTAGAGCCGGAACTAAGCCAGTTAGCTGCAAGGGCAGTGCTCCAAGTCCTGCCTCCCTCACAGTGGTGGCCAGGGGGTGTCTCCTTGTGGCCATAGAAACCATGCCGGCTTTTCCTGCAACAGTGTTCTGGGGAAGGGTTATTTAGCTCTGGCTTCTGAGGCTCCCTCCATCACATGAACCTTTCTCCTTCCACGAGGTCGGAGAGCACCAAGGCCCTCTGAGTCCCTGTGAGATGGGATGCCTTTCAAGCAAGGGCTCAGAAGTCGTAGAGGAGTCCCAGAAACCTGGAGATCACCCTGAGGGAGGAGAGCCGAAGGTGGAGCCTGGCGCTGAGGCAGTGGATGGCAAGGACACCTCAGTGAAGGAAGGAGCCGCTGAGCTGAAGAGCTGACCCTCTTTCTTGACTGGACCCTCACCTCATTCCTGGAACAGCCTTCAGCCTGTGAGGTCTCATTCTGAGGAACTATCCTTGGAGGGTGGAGAGACCCCTGCTTGGGATATGACCTTCCTCAGGACTTGCTCTCTGGCCTTGGGTGGATGAGGGTGAGGCTTGATGTGGTTCTGTTTCTCCAGCGTCCAGCAAAGAGGACAAAAGATCGCTTCATTCTTCTTGGGCCTTTCCCACAGCTGCTGGAAAGAAACATGTAGATTGACTTTACTGATCCAGCCTATATGCTTCTGACTGTGACTGTCTCTCCCGGGGTCTGCCTCCGTTTCCCAGAATTCTGAAGACTATGTACCTACGACAAGGATGGGAACTATGGATCTTGGTTTGGTCTTCATCTCTTTCCCCCCTTTTAAACAGCTGACTGAACAGCCAGCATGCCCGACAGGAAGCTTTTGCATTTGGCTTTTTCCATGTTGTTTGCATGAATAATTTAATATTTAACTTGCAGTATCATTAATGAATTATGGGAATAATCAGGATTGGACAGGATTTTGTGAATGGACGGAGATAGGGGCTTGGGCTCACAACAAGTAGAGTGTTGAGCCCTGGCGGGGGGAGGAGAGATTCACATTTCTGGTTATTAAATCTCTGGAAGGGTCCCCCTGTTAGCTTGTCTTCTGCTATCAAAAGTCTGTCAATTTGAGCCCTCTAGCATCTGAGCTGTCTGCATCTAGCCTTCAAAAATATTTTGCTGTTTACTAACAATGAGTCTGCCAGCCTTTCTTTTTTTTTTTTTCCCCTGAATGCATTTTGTTTTTAATGCAACCTCAAAGCATTTTCCGTTTGAAATCAAACAGACATGTTTGCAAATAAACGATGACACATCACATTTGAAAGGCGAGACTGGGGCTGTGTGATTGCAGGATTGTCAGGGAGGGGTGGGTGCCATTCCTGGAGCCTCCCCTTTGTGCCAGGCCTCACACTGAGTTTCTACAGGGGACTAACCAGCATTCACCAGCTTCGCCACCCCTATTTTATAGGTGAGAAAATTTAGGAGCTTGCCTGAGTACGGCTTAGGAGGGTGTGTGTGCGCCTGCGCGCGCACGCATGCGTGCACATGTATTCTGGAACTCGCCCTCTTTCTGAGTGTTGGAATTACAGACATGTGCCACCATGCCCATCGACAGAGACCAGACCTGAACCCCAGCTGTGTGACTTTAACCTACACAGAGCCCTAATTAAAGACTACATAACTATGGTCTTTCTTGGGAATGAACTAAAGAAACGGAAATCTAACATCTAAACACTATTTTTCCATTTTTATGAACGTGCGTGTTGCGCGGATGCATGTTTTTGCCGCTGGCACGTGTTTGGGTGAGCACAGCGCGCCCAAGTGCAAGTGATAGGCCCAGTGTGGTGTCAGGCTTCACCCTTGCTCACTCTTCTACCCTATTCACTGAGGGGAGGGTCTCTCAATCAAGCCCAGAGCTTGCTCCGGGATTCCCCTGTTTGCACCTTCCAAGGCTAGAACTACAGGTAGGCTGCCTGGTCCACCTCGGCAAACACGGATTCTAGGGATCTGAACTTCCGTCTAATGTTTCTGTGCCATCCCCTCATTCTAAAATTTTACTGGGACCATTCAGACCCACTGGCCTGGGGAGAAGAGGGCTGCTAACCTCTTCGACTGGAGGGCCTGTTATTTTCACTTTGGTGGGACAGGGGATGAGGTGAGATCTAGGTAGAAGCAGGAGAGATCAGGAGGAAGGGAGGGAGAGGACAAAAACTCCAAAACACTACTGGAAAACTACACTCAGCCACAAAACCCTGAGAAAATGAGAGATTTTTTTTTTGCTTTGCTCTAAGTATACATTGTGTGTACATATATACACACTTGCATATATAATGCATATAATATATGTGTATATGTTATATAAAATATATAATTATATAAATGTGTATATGTATAGAGATATATATTACAAGAAGGCAAAAATCCTATCACAGTCTATATTATTTATATATTATATTGATTTGTGTATAATATATTTACTATTATATATGTTACATTTATATATTACATATTAAATATATGCTATATACCATTATAATATTATTATAATATTATCACATTCTATTATATGCATTACAAATACACACACATATATAAAATATATTTTAAAGACAGGGTCTTGCTATATAGCTCAGGCTGCCCTCAAACTCGCGGTCCTCTACCTTAGTCTTCCAAGTGCTGGGACCACAGGCGTAGATAGCCACTATGTACAACTTCAGTAGGATGCTTTTAGGGAGAAGGAAATCCAGAAGCAAAGCAGTTCAGCCTGAAACTGAACCTTGGGGCTTCATTTTGATTCGACAGAGCCTGTCCGCTCCCAAGAATGAAGATAGTAAGGAGTGCTGGGGACCGCTTGAGCCCTGCGGAGGTGCAGAGCTGGCTGCGGGCCAGGAAACAGGCCTGGGCTTGCGACTGGGAAGCAGGAGGGTTAGGGCCTTTCTCCAGCGTACTGGGGACAGGCCAAGCCAGGGAACTGCTTCCAACTTTATTAAATGCGTGTTTACTTCTCTCCTCCCTCCTAATGGAAATTCACCGCGCAAACAGGACTGGGTCTTGTAGGAACCACTCTCAAAGGCCTCACTCAGGACCCAGAGGGAAGAGTTCCCGTCTGGTGGTGAGGCCGGGCGGGGCTTCTTTTTGTAGCTCTCAAAGGGCCAGAGGAAGGAGCTCGGCTCCGGGTCCTTAGGCGGTTTTTCTTCCGACTGGGATGGAGCAAAATGCGCCTTCACCTAAATGCGAGAACAGGATGCCTCACCCACCCCCAGCTGTGGCAGGCACGCTGCAATTTGCTGGGAAGCAGGGAAAGCACCTGGTTTCGTTTAAAGGACGTTGTAACTGTTCCCACGGAGCCTGGCGACACTCATGTCTCCCGCAGAGGATCAGAAATGCTTCAGATGCCAGGGGCAAGTGTGGCTGTAGTCTCTTAAAGAGACTGGCACAGGCTGTCTCTGACCTGCAGCCGTTGTTCTAGCTCTTTCTTCAGACGGCTGCAAGAGGAGGGACTGTGTATATTAACTTATCTGTTCTGTTTAACTGCCCATCCTTCCACCAGAGCTTTTCTTATTTAAGTGTAGCTGTTGGGGCTGGAAGGCTGACTCCCGGGTCGAGTCTCGGAACTCACAGAGCGGCTCACAACCTCTAGTAGTTTTGGTTCCAGGGGATCTGATGCCCTCTTCTGGACTAAAAGGTCATTGCATAGCCTATGAGGGCATTGCAAGCACGCATATAGTACACGGGCATATATGCAGGCAGAAACGCCCATGTACATAAAATAAAATCTTATTTTATGTGTATGAGTAGTTTTCACACATGCTTGTATACCATGTATGTGCCGGGTGCCTGTGGAGGCCAGAAGAAGGCATCAGATCCCCTGGAACTGGAGTTGCAGAAGGTTGTGAGTTGTCGGCGTGGGTGCCGGGAATTGGGACCAGGTTCTCTGGAAGAGCAGCCAGTGCTTTTGATCATTGAACGATCTCCCCAGCCCCTCATCATGCTTTCTTCAAGCAGAACCCGTGTTTTTGTTTTTGTTTTGAGACAGGGTCTCATGAAGTAGTTCTGGAACTCACTCTGCAGCCCAGGCTGGCCTCGGATTCACAGACATCACCTGCTTCTACATCCTGGGCTTTGGGATTAAGGTGTGTGTCACAGCACCTGGCAAGTCCAAGAGGAGCATGAACGTTAGATCATTCCCAGGAGACAGGGTTTCAGGTTAGAGGTGGGTGAACCCTTGCCCACTTAGAGATGCATATAAACCCCGTTTGAGGCTTTTTCAGGGAAGGCAAGCTTAGCCTTTAACCTGGAGGAGCCCTATCCCTGCTCTCCTGACCCAAGGGCTGCCCAAAGATACTCACCACAAAGAATGTTGCTAGCCTATAGGCCGGTCCTTTTTGGGAAGAAGGGGATTGACAGGGTTTCTCTGTAGCTCTGGAGCCTATCCTGGAACTCCCGCTGTAGACCAGGCTGGCCTCGAACTCCCAGTATATTCAGGACTTGCCAACATAGGCTGTCCTAAGCAACTATAATATACTTAAGTTCCACATGAAATATAAAAGGACATTAAGTCATTTCTGTCTGTTACATATTAAACAGGTTCCATTTCAATTCTGGGCTTTCCAGCATGTCAAAATTCCTTCCTGGGATTGGTAGTGTAGCTCAGTGGTAGAGTGCTTGCCTGAATGTAGTCCTGGATTTATTTTGTAGGAACACACATGCACACACATGTACACACACACACACACACACACATACTTCTGCTCTAGTTCTTTCACATCCCAAACTACAAATGATCATCTTACCAAACCTCTCAGACTTTTATATTTTTCTTTTGAGATAAGATCTGGAGTTCCCTGAGTAGTCTAGGTTGTCCTTAAACTCACAGAGATCTGCCTGTCTCTGCCTTCTGAGTACTGGGATTACAGGCCTGTGCCACCACACCCAGTTCATGTTTTCTTTTTTAATTTCCAGCCCCTGTATCTTTTCCATCTTTGCCCCTGTTCCTCCTGATTCTTTGTTAATTAGAATTGCTCACCTTGC